TCATAAGATTAACGACGGATGAGAGTAGTTTTTACGGTTTTTACAAATTGGAGTGGTTTTCATTTGATCGCTCCTCTATATATATATATATATGTGTGTGTGTGTGTGTGTGTATGTGTGTGTGTTCAAATGAAAACACCTTCATTTACGAAAACACAATAACACATTTTTATTATAGTCAATCACACGTATGATTCAAATATTCATATGTGAATTATTGGCAAAAGAAAACGTGGTTTCACATATGCACCTTTTATATATGATTTATTGGTAAAAAGGTAATAAAGAGGTTGGTAAACAAGGGTAACTTCACATATACATATTCAAATTGATTTTTACGAGTTTACCGATGATTCACATATACACCTTCATATATGAATAATTGGTAAAAATGTAGGTAAACAAGTATAAACTCATATATACATATTCAAATGGATTCTTGTACAAGTTATCAATGATTCACATATGAACCTTCAATTCGTACATTTTCAACTTCAATGTGCTTCTAGTGCGAACCTTTAGAGGGAGGGGGCAAACGAGAATAAGGTCAAAATAAGAAAACATGAGACTGATCAAATAACATGTAATTTTTCATTGAAATCATATTTGATTATGGAATAAATTCAACACGAAGGACGTACGCACGACTTAACCCGCGACCGAATCACATGTGATTTTATCATATTTAATTTGATATTGAATGAATACCAACATAGCTTTAATGGATGGATTTGCTTTCTTTTAGTATTAGGAGTAGTCGTTGTTTCATTATTGCAAGTCGATCACACACCTAAAACATGTATTATGTTTAAGTTTTTTTTGATATGGAACATTCATAAGATAATTAAATAATAATCGTCAAAGGAAAATACGATAAGATCGAATGATTTTTACAAATCGATATCAGTAGGCTTTTGGAAATCTTAAATTGGCTCATAAATTAAAATCTCTATCTGAAACATATTATGATGCAAAGAACTGTACATCTCATGTGATTTTACACAAGTAGACAGAAAAAAATGTTGCAACAATGAACAGGTTGTCTAATTTTTTCCAAAATGGAGAATCAAAACTCAAAATCAAAAAAAAAAAAAACCATTCAACTCCAACAGATTCTCTATTTTAAAAATTGCAACATGAACTATATTATGAAAATATTCCATACAATTAATATATGTTAACTCAGAAAACTAGTTTAATTTAATTTGTTTTTGGTTGCATGTTATATTCTAAAATTGAACTGTTGTAATTTAATTTGCTTTGTAATGTAATATTTAATAATTAAAAATTATCATTTTAATTTTGATGATGTTTTATTAAATATTTTTTTTTTAATGAAGTGATTATTATTTATCGATTATAAAAATTAATAATATATTAAAATTGTTATGTTTTAATAAAATTGTACAACAACAAATAAATATATCAATTTATTATTATTGATAATATTAAAGATGTTTTTTAGCGTTTTGTTTTTATGTGTTGTTGGAGTTGAACTTTTTTAGTGATTTTAGTGTTTTATTTTTAGTGAGATATTTAAACCCCACCACAATTCCCCATTTGAGCAAACTTGATTATCATGATGTCACATCAATATCTCTTAGGGACCGTTTACTAAACGCTTACCCGGATAAGTGCTTACCAAGTCACATTACCTTATGCATATGGAAATGACCAAGAATCTTACCGCTAAGAGCGAATACAAGGACCGAGAGTCATACCCGGTAATTGAGGACGACGACTCTTATCACGGTTAGCGCTTACTAAGTAAATTGTTGCGTATGATACCGTTTTCGTTAACTAAAATCTTACCAGGTAAGTTAGTAATAGTGTTGATTTTTGCTAGTAAGCACTTACCCAGGTAAGCGTTAGGTAAACGACCCCTTGGTCTATTTATATAAAATAATTTCTTATATAAATGGAATTTTTGTAAAAAATATGGCAAGCTAAAATTAACCAACTCTATTAATTAACATAAAGACTTTCTTTTAATTATCTATATAAATAGGTTTTTTTTTTTTTGCAGAAATAAGATGAGCTAAATTGAGTCGTCTAATGAGTCGACACAAAAATATTCACCCCTATTTTCATGTACTCACTCTCTACTATCAATCTTGCATCTTATCATCAGTACTGTAGGATGATGGAACTTTTTTTTTGCAAAAATAGGGTGCACTAAACTGAGCCAACCTCATGAGTTGATACAAAAGCAGTTCTATCTCATTTCATATACTCACTCCCTATTTTCTATTTTGCATTTCATCACTAATGTGGGATGATGAAACATATTTTTGCAAAAATAAGGTTGGCTGAAATTGAGCCAACCTAATGAGTTGACTCAAAAACAACAAACCTATATTTTCATATGCGTAATAACTACTTCCAATATTGTATCTTATTACCAATATGGGTCGATGAAACTCAACCACATTGCAATATTTGAGAATACTTAACCCTTGAGTTGGGCATCGTGCATTGAAATGTCATTCCTTCTCAATCCAACTAACATCCCTATAATATCTCTTTTTTAAAGAGTAGGTAGCCATTGTTGATTTCATATTTAATGGGTGACTTTGACTCAATATTTCTTATAATCACCGTCAACTTCTCTTCCCCACAGCTTGGTTGCATCTCTTTCAAGGTAAGCTTCAACCTCATGGGTTTCGACCATTGTTTTTTATTGATTTATGGTCTGTATCGATTTTTGTTTCTTTCTTTTTTACTCATTACTTATCGATTCTTTATGGTTTCTTTGTTTGATTCTTTGTCGGTTTAGGTTTACTTTCTCGGAACTCGATTGTTTCTCATCCCCACATCTTGATTGCTTCTCTTTCAAGGTAAGTTTCAACCTTTGGGTGGCTGTATTGATTGACTATTGCTTGATTGATTTATGATTTGTAATGATTTAAATAGAATTGTTTTTGATCTATTATGTTATGGAACACAAAGTTCACATAAATCATTTGACAAAAATTCTTAAAAATCATTTTTTATGCATAAAGTACCGTTTGTTGATGCATATTACTTACAATTCAAGATCACAAGTAAATTGTGCGTAAATACAACTCATTAACGCTTCATTTTTAAATTTGTATAACTAACTATAGATAAACATAATCAAATATGGGATAGACATT